GTCGTCGACGGTCTGAGGGCCCTGTGTGCTTGTCTATTCGGGGGCTCGGGGGCCCCTGGGGACCCGAAGATCGGCCCAAAACGCCCCCAGGACGGTCCGATAACCACCCGAGACAGTCCCAAGACGGCCCACGAGCCGCACAATGCGGCCCCAGAGGCCCCCCTGCCCGTCTCTGAGGGTGCGGGCAGAAGGGCGCGTACCGGGCCTCGCGCGGCGCAGCGCCGCGAGGTGTTTGGGTCGCACAGGATTTGGGCGTGCTTCCGAGAGGCGGCCCAGGCGATGGATGCAGAGAGGATGCCAGCCTCTGCCCAGGCTCGGGCCAGACGGAATCGGCGGAGGCCGAGTTCACACACAGACAGTTCGCCTTCAAGAAGTCTCCTCGCCGCCACGGCTGGACGCAGCAGACAACACTGGTGCGCTTCGACAGTGGGGGGGGCCCAGGGACCGATTCTGACAGCTCTGCCCCCCCTTCCTCGGCCGCGACAGGCTGTGCAGGCCCGCGGGACGCCCCGCCAGTTCGACGGAGTGTGGGCCCCAACCACCGGCCAGGCGCCGGCGTCGCGCCGCGCGCCACCGTCATTGTCGTCGTCGCTGCCACTGCCAACGTCCAAAGCGGGGCGCTGCTGGAGAACGGGCTCGCGCCATGTGGATAGTCTTTCGGCAGCGTTTCCGCCGCTCCCCCCTAGAACCATTTCGGCAAAATGTCGTGGACGGAGTCCACGGGTCAGCCCTGGTCTATACTACAATGCAGGGACCCGCGCGTGCGAGAAGGGCGATTCTGGTCAAAAAGCGTAGCAGGCCCAAGACACGCCAAGAGGGCCCCAAGAGGCCCCCAAGACGGCCCCAGAGGGCCCCGGGACGCCCCAAGATGGGCCCAAGACGCGCCAAGAGGGCCTCCAGAGGCCCCCAAGACGGCCCCAGAAGGCTCCGGGACGCCCCAAGATGTGTCCGAGACGCCGAAGATTGGGCCAAGACGGCCCCAGAGGCGGCCAAAATGCCCCAAGAGGCCTCCCAAGAGGCTTCCCAGCAGGGCCCCGAGCAGGAGAAATCGCTGATTTCTATTGTGTTTATCAATGTTTTTCGCATTCTCCCCTTTTCGCCGTCCCTGCGCTCCAAGACGGCCCAAGAGGTCCCCAAGACCGCTGGAAGACCACCGACGAGGCCCGCAAGAGGGTCTCAAGACGGGCCAAGAGGCTCGGGCCCCCAGACGGTCCCAAGACGCCCCAAGATAGCCCAAGACGGCCCCCCAAGACGGCCCCAGAGGGCCCCGGGACGCCCCAAGATAAGCTCAAGACGCGCCAAGAGGGCCCCAAGAGGCCCCCAAGACGGCCCCAGAGGGCCCTGGGACGCCCCAAGATGGGCCCGAGACGCCGAAGATTGAGCCACGACGGCCCCAGAGGCGGCCAAAGTGCCCCAAGAGGCCTCCCAAGAGGCTTCCCAGCAGGGCCCCGAGCGGGAGAAATCGCTGATTCCTATTGTGTTTTTCGATGTTTTTCGCATTCTCCCCTTTTCGCCGTCCCTGCGCTCCAAGACGGCCCAAGGGGTCCCCAAGACCGCTCCAAGACCACCGACGAGGCCCGCAAGAGGGCCTGAAGACAGGCCAATAGGGCCCCCAGACGGTCCCAAGACGCCCCAAGGCAGCCCAAGACGGCCCCAGACGGCCCCAGAGGGCCCCGGGACGCCCCAAGACAGGCCCAAGACGCGCCAAGAGGGCCCCAAGAGGCCCCCAAGACGGCCCCAGAGGTCTCCGGGACGCCCCAAGATGGGCCCAAGACGCCGAAGATTGGGCCAAGACGGCCCCAGAGGCTGCCAAAATGCCCCAAGAGGCCTCCCAAGAGGCTTCCCCGCAGGGCCCCGAGCGGGAGCAATCGTCGATTTCCATTGTATTTTCCGATGTTTTTCGCATTCTCCCCTTTTCGCCGTCCCTGCGCTCCAAGACGGCCCAAGAGGTCCCCAAGACCGCTCCAAGACCACCGACGAGGCCTGCAAGAGGGCTTCAAGACGGGCCAAGAGGGCCCCCAGACGGTCCCAAGACGCCCCAAGACGCCCCAAGACAGCCCAAGACGGCCCCCCAAGACTGCCCCAGAGGGCCCCGGGACGCCCCAAGATATGCCTAAGACGCGCCAAGAGGGCCCCAAGAGGCCCCCAAGACGGCCCCAGAGGGCTCTGGGACGCCCCAAGATGGGTCCGAGACGCCGAAGATTGGGCCAAGACGGCCCCAGAGGCGGCCAAAATGCCCCAAGAGGCCTTCCCAGAGGCTTCCCAGCAGGGCCCCGAGTGGGAGAAATCGCAGATTTCTGCTGTGTTTTTCGATGTTTTTCGCATTCTCCCCTTTTCGCCGTCCCTGCGCTCCAAGACGGCCCAAGAGGTCCCCAAGACCGCTCCAAGACCACCGACGAGGCCCGCAAGAGGGCCTGAAGACAGGCCAATAGGGCCCCCAGACGGTCCCAAGACGACCCAAGACAGCTCAAGACGGCCCCAGAGGGCCCCGGGACGCCCCAAGATGGGCCCAAGACGCGCCAAGAGGGCCCCAAGAGCCCCCCAAGACGGGCCCAGAGGGCTCCGGGACGCCCCAAGATGGGCCCAAGACGCCGATCCCCCGTCCTTGCAAATCGCCCCCAAACCAACGTACAATTGCATATGCCAACCTCGGCGGAACCCGGACGCTCTGCCGAAACGGTCCTCCCAGCAGGGGGCCTTCAACGACAACTCCAGATACATTGGGTTTCCCACATTTCCAGGGACGCACGGGGAAACCTTTCCAAAAGCGACAACGCAGAAGACATCGGAGAACACAATGGTTTGCAAAGCCTCTTCTAATGGATTTCGGTCCGTGGGGTCGTCGTCGTCTTCGTCGTCGCCGTCGTCGTCACTGGGCCAGCAGCCGCGCATGCAACCCACCGGAGCTGTCACGACACCAAAACGTCACCATGCCATGTCAAGTGGCCCCCAAAGGTGTCTGCAAGCACTGTTTCTTAGAAAAATGCTCCGCAGGGCCTTTTGGCGCCCAGAGCGAGCCTACAGTATGCGATGTGGCCCTCGGAGGCCCTCTTAGAGCCTCCTTGGACCGTCTTGGCCATTCGCGCCGCTCGGACCCCCGACATCTTGGGCCGCGTTGGCCGTTCTCACCGCTCTGAGCCGCGCGCGCAACCCACCGGAGCCGTCACGACACGAAAACGTCACCATGCCATGTCAAGTGGCCCCCAAAGGGGTCTGCCGTGTTTGTAGATTTTCGGTACAATTTGTGCCGTTCCTCCGAGAACCATTCCAGAAAGATGTCGTGGACGGAGTCCACGGGTCAGCCCTAGTCAGCTACAGCGCTGGGATCAGCGCGTGCGAGAAGGGCGCGCAGTGGCAGCGGGCTCTGTTGTTGTTGAGCGAGATGTGGGAAGCTAGTGTGGAGCCCAACGCCACCTCCCCCGCGCTGCGGGAACACGCGCGTGGGAGAAGTTGTCTGTGTGCAGCCCCTCCCCCCCGCGGCTCCCAGAGGCGCGCGGAGGCCCCCCGAGAGCCTTACGAGCAATAGGAGCGCGCCCAGATGTCACCAGGCGCCGTCAAGACCGCGCAAGAGGCCCTAAGCCGCGTCACCGTGGCGTCATCATGGAAGAGGAAGTTTACAGCGCCGCGCCTGGTCACGCATCGCAGGGCCATCTTCAAGTCTAGAATTCGTCGCCCGAGGCGTTGGGTCTCCCGAGGAGTAGGTTGCTGCAGCTAGTCTAGCATAGCCATCGGTAAAGAAAGACATGAGGAAATGACGAGCGAAAGAAAAAAAAGAAAGAAGCGGAAATGAACGACATAAAGAAATGAAGACGGCTGCAGAGGCCCCGAATACGTCCCAGGAAGGCTCCAAGCGGACCCGTAAGAGGGCCTCCAGGCGCAGCAGCATGTGATCCTCCTTGAGTTTGGGTGGATTTTCGACAACTGGCTGTGCCACCCCAAGACGGTCCCAGAGGCCCCCATGAACACCCCGAGGGGACCCCAAGACGGCCCAAGAGGCTGGCCAAGACAGCCCTAGAGGCCCAGGAGACGGCTCAAGGGGCCCCAAAGAGAGCCTCAAGAGGGGCCCAAGAGGGGCCCCAAGAGAGCCTCAAGAGGGGCCCCAAAGAGAGCCTAGCCTCAAGGAGCCAAAAAGAGCCTCAAGAGGGGCCCCAAGAGAGCTAACGTTTCGAGCTCTTGCCCCACAGCTGGCCCCCGCGATGGCCAGCAGGCCTCCAGGACGCCCCCAGTAGCCCCCCGGACGACGCCCCAGAGGACCACCGAAGACGCCACGAGAGGCACCCGAGAGGAGACCAATCGATCGGCCATGCGCACGTGGAGGCCCTTCGGAGAGCCCTGTGCTGGTCGTTCCTCCAGCCTCCCTTTCCCCTCGCTCCACGCTCTTCCTTTCTCGTCCGCTGCTCGTCGTCCCTCGCCCTCTGCTCCTCGCTCCTCGGGCCAGGGCGAGGATAAATCCCTTCCAGAGCGCTCCGGAACGCTCACAGAGCGCTCCGGAACGCTCCGAGAAGGCCGCGGCGCCCGATACATCCTGCAGAGCCGCCAGATTTCAGATTCTCGGTGTATCCTCGCCCGGACTTCTCCTCGTCATCGCTCCTCGCTCCTCTCTGTTGCCGACTCCTTCTCGCTCCGCTCGCCTGGCCCCGTCGCTCCTCCCTCTCGGCTTAGTTATTGGCACATCCCTCCCCCGTTCTCCCCCCCTCGGCGCCGCCTCCTCTCCCATCCTCTCCGCGGCCCGTTAGCTCCTCACCTCTCGCTCCTGGCTCCTCTCCGATGGTTCCTCGCTTCTCTCGCCTCGCTCCTCTCCGATTCTGCCCTCCTTTCTCTTCGGTTGTTCCTCGATTGTTCCTCCCTCCTCCCCCCCCTTCCTCCTGCTCCCTCCTCCTCATCCCTCCTCGTCTTCCTCCTCCTCCCTCTCCTTCCTCCTACTCACTCGATTGCCCTCCTCCTCTCTCCGATTGTTCCTCGATTGTTCCTCCCTCTCCCATTCTGCCCCGATTCACTCACGGGCTGCAGGCTGCGTCAGCTTACCGAGAAGCAGCACCCTGCAGCTTCAAGCAGCATCTGCGAGTAGCAGCAGCAGCAGCAGCAGCAGCAGCAGCAGCAGCAGCAGCAGCAGCAGCAGCAGCAGCAGCAGCAGCAGCGGCGGCACGCAGTCCGCAGCAAGCGGCAGCAGCGGCAGCACGCAGTCCGCAGCAAGCGGCAGCATGCCGCGCGCAGCAGGCAGCAGCACCCTGCAGCGCCGGAGGCGACGAAGGTATGGACCAACGCCATGATGAACACCTTCCGCCAGCACCTCCGCCCTGACCCCACACGAGCGACGCAGAAAGCGGGATCCTCTTCACCGGCACTGGCGCGTCAGGTGCCCGCGTCAGGTCGCGCGCCAGCACCCTCGTCTCCAAGGTGGCGTGCCGCGCGGGCGGCCCGCGTAAGCCACCGCGCAAGGTTGCTGTGCCATCTCGCGCAAGGCCCGTTTCTTGTCGTCGCCCCCATGCCATCTACGACAGATTCGTGGCCAGTACGCCACGGGCCAGCCCTAGTTTGTACTACAATTCTGGTCACGGCGCTTGCGAGTCAGACGCTGCGGAAAACCGCTCCGCAGCGCCCCCAGGATACTCCCCGACGGGCTCAGAGGGTCGCCACATGGTCCCTACACGGCCTCAGACAGCCCGAAGACAGCTCTGCGACGCTCCGGAGGGCGCCAGGACGGCCCAAGTGGGCCCGAAGACTCGCCAGGAAGTTCCACAGACGGCCCACGAGGACCCCGATGAAAGGCCCCACGAGGCAACAAAAACACTCCCAACAGTTTATTCCCCCAGCGGTGCTTGCACTTCTGTAGGGGTCCTTCTTTCTTTTCTGCGGCACTGGGCTGGTGTGCTGGTGTGGCGGCTATGTAGTCGCCGTCGCCGCCCTGCCGGCGCCTCGCCGCCGCCCGTCGTCTGGGCCGGTGTGCCGCTCTGGCGGCTATGTGGTGGCCGTCGCCGCCCCGTCGCCGCCTCGTCGCCGCCCGTCGCCTGGGCTGGTGTGCCGCTCTGGCGGCTATTTGGGCGCCGCCGCCGCCTCGGTGCCATCCGCATAGATTGCACATCACAACGGACACTGCGCACCACATATATGGCACAACATCGATCGTACCACATATATTGCACCACATAGTTTGCACAGCATAGACTGCACAACTTAATGTATATAGGTGTGTGTATATATTTGTGTGTTTGTGTACATGTGTATATATATATATAGGCTGCACCGAGTACGTTGCAACACATATTCTTCGCAGCACAGAGATTGCATAACACATATTGCATCACATAGTTTGCACCACTTGTATTGCACACCATTGATGGTACAACGGGGACTGCGCAACACACACACACATATATATAGCAATCCATAGATGCCGCCGTATATTTTGCAGCACACATACTGCGCGTCATATCTGGCACCACGCACACACATCTCTATATATGCACATTGCACCATATATATATATATATATCACCACATAGATTGCACAGCGTAGACTGCACAGCACATATAGCACTAAACATAATGGACAACGTACGTTGCACAACAGACATTGCAACTCTCATATTGCGCACACCATAGATGGCACAACATTAATTGCACCGTGTAGATGGTATCACGTATGCTGCTCCACATAGATTGCACCACAGTGAATTTTCCTTTCTACAGAGGGAATCGGTTCTACCACCCTCCCCTCTGGACTTAAAGACCCCCCGGGAACCGATGTAAAACACACAGGAGTCTGACCCAATGTCCATCCTACCTGTGAGTTCATATTTTCCAAGCCAAACAGGTATCGGTTCCCCCCGCCATCCTCCAGAACAAATTCTATGCGCGCGCACTCGTTTACCAAGAACCACAAGTTCTCAGGAATCCCTTGCAAAAAAACGGGACGAAGTGCACGCGCGCGCGTCGTCGCGCGCGCATGCAGAAATCCTTCAAAAACCTGCGGCTTCGGACGGATTTCAAAATCGAGTGTCCAAAACACATACAAAAACATAGGGTTTCGCAGCACGGTGTTCAACAAAAGTGTGCGCGCACGCTCTTGCGTCGTCGTCGTCGTCGCTGCCGTCTTCCCTCCTCCCTCGTCGTCGTCGTCGTCGCCGCCGTCGTCGTCCTCTGTCTTTCCTCGTCGTCGTCTTGGCATTGTCGTCGTTTCCGTCGTCGTTGTCGTCGTGGTCGTCCTTCCTCCTTCGTCGTCTTCGTCGGCGTTTCGTCGTTGTCCCTCCTATTTCGTCGTCGCCGTCGTCGTCGTCGTCGTCTTCCCTCCTACCTCGTCGTTGTCGTCGTCGGCGTCGCCGTCCTTCCTCCTTCGTCGTTCGCGTCGTCGCCGTCCTCCCTCCTCCCTCGTCGTTGTCGTCGTTGTCGCCGTCGTCGTCCTCCCTCCTCCCTATCGTCGTCGGCGTCGGCGTCGTGGTCGTCGTCGTCGTCGTCGTCGTCGGTGTCGTTGTTGTCGTCGTCGTCGTCGTCGTCGTCGTCGTCGTCGTCGTCGTCGTTGTCGCCGTCGTCGAAGTCGTTGGAGACGTCGTCGGTGTCGTCGTAGTTGGTGTCGGCGTCGTCGGCGTCGTCGTCGTTGTCGCTGTCGTCGTCGGCGTCGGTGTCGTTGCCAAGTGCCATTTGGTACCCACCGCCACGGTCTTAAGAGGTCTTGCGACCAAGTTGCGAGCTTCAAGTTGAGCAAGTGATTGTTGCTCCACATGGATAGTATCACACATATTGCTAGAAACATCGTTTTGGGTCCACGCTGGTTTCATGTTCGAAGGCTTTCGCACTCTCCCCATGACGGGACCAGAACGGCATCACACGGCTCTAGGCCCTTCCTAGATCGCACCGAGATGGTCCAAGAGGCCCTCACGAGCCCACCAAGAGATTCGACTCCCAGACGGCCCCAACACCCGGCTATGGCCCCAAGGTGGCCCAAGAGGCCCCCAGGACGGTCCAAGATGGCCCACGAGGATTCCGATGACGGTCCCAGGAGGCTAGAAATCAAGCAAAACCTCAGCTTGCATATGTCTTCCACACTCTCGCCATGATGGGAGCAGACCGACCCCACGCGGCTTACGGCACTCGTGCTTATGATCGTCTCAAGATGGCCCAAGAGGCCCCTGCGAGCGCACCAAGGCGGCCCAAGAGGGCCGCAAACGGGCCCAACGCAGGCCCCCGATAGTCCAATAGACTTTCAGGTGGCACCCCAAGACGCCGCAGGAGCTGCCCAAGAGGGCCCACACCGGGCTCCCAGACGGCCCTAGACCCCCACCCTGGCCCCAAGATGGCCCAAGAGGCCCCGGGGATGGCCGAAGAGGGCCCACGAGGACCCCGGCGACGGCCCCAGGAGGACAGATCTCAAGCAACAACCATTTGTTTTCGATGGTTTTTCACGTTGCCCAGGCTCAGAACGGCCCACGCGGCTCCAGGCACTTCTACGATCGCTCCGAGATGAGCGCACCAAGACGGCCCAAGAGGGCCCCAAGTCAGCGAAAGACAGGCCCGAGACGGCCTGATAGAGCTTCAGGTGGCCCCCCAAGACGTCCCATGAGCTGCCCAAGAGTGCCCAAACCGAGCACCCAGACGGCCCCAGACCCCCTATCATAGCCCAAAATTGTCCAAGAGGCCCCCAAGACTGCCCATCAGGGCCCAAATGGCCCAACAGGGCTTCAAAATGGCCCAACAGTGCTCCAACAAGATAGGGTCTCCCAACAGACTCTGTCAGTTGCCAACAGACTTCGACAGCTTCCAAGGAGCTCCCAAAAGAGCCTCCAGCCCCAGCACTTTTCGCCGTTTCTGGGTGTTCAGACGGCCCAAGAGGGCCCCAAGAGCTGTCCAAGAAGGACCGCTCTCAGATGCTCCACAGCGTCCTAATCGACTCCGACAGCTGCCAAGGAGTTCGCCGTTTCTGAATTCTCGGGGGCCCCAAAGCATGTCCGAGATCCCACAAAGGCCCCAGACCACTCGTAGATGCCCCGCAGCTTCCCAAGAGACCCTGAGAGTTGCCAAGGAGCTCCCACGGGAGCCTCAGACCCGGGCACCTCTTGCCGTTCCTGGACCTCCCGAAGCCCCAGAGAAAACCTGGAACCCCAAACAACGCCATAGAAAACCTCTTTCCCTGTTCTCCTCTCCTCTCTTCTCTTACTCTTCCTCCTCCTCCTCCTCTTTCTCCCTGGTGCCTCCACACCCCTCTTTCCGATGTCCCTGTCCTCCTTTTGCCTTTTCTGCCCCTCGCCCAAGAGCGGGGCGACGGGGGAGACCTCCACGACCGCAGGCCCCAAAGAAATCTCCCCAGACCCCAGACAAGGCCCCAGAAAGCTTTTCTCTGCCTCCACCTCTGCCGCGGGGAGCCTGCACCCCCCCTTCTCTGGTGCCGCCCCCCTCTCTCTCAGCGAGCGAAGAACGGTATCACATACACTTTGTCGCTGTCGGGGGCGCCTTCCCCAGGGCGGCTGGAAAGTTTATACCCCTACGGTGCCACCGTAGGGGTATAAACTTTCCAGCCGCCCAGGGACAGGCGCCCCCGACAGCGAACAAGTTTATTCTCTTGCACAGGGTTTCTAGAGCTCCGACCACACTATTTCGGCGTCGTCGTCGCTCCCCCCCAGCTGCCTTGTGCCCTTCATGTGTCGCTATATGTGTCGCTGTGTGCCTTGTGCCCTTCAGGTGCCGCTATATGTGTCGCTGTGTGTCGCTATGCGTCTCCATGTGTGCGTCGCTATGTGTCGCTATGTGTCGCTATGCGTCGATATGTGTGTGTGTGTGTGTGTCGATATATGTCTCTATATGTCGACATGTGTCGACATGTGTCGCTATGTGTCTCTCCCCAGCACCCCAGCGCACCGCCCCCTCCGCCCCGACGACTTTATTTCGGCGTCGTCGTCGCCCCCCCCCCCTCTCCCTCTCCTCAGCAGCCCAGCGCGCTGCCCCCTCCGCCCCGACCACTTTATTTCGGCGTTGTGTCGACATGTGTCGCTATGTGTCGCTCCCCAGCACCCCAGCGCACCGCCCCCTCCGCCCCGACGACTTTATTTCGGCGTCGTCGTCGCCCCCCCCCCCTCTCTCCTCTCCTCAGCAGCCCAGCGCGCTGCCCCCTCCGCCCCGACCACTTTATTTCGGCGTTGTGTCGACATGTGTCGCTATGTGTCGCTCCCCAGCACCCAGCGCACCGCCCCCTCCGCCCCGACGACTTTATTTCGGCGTCGTCGTCGCCCCCCCCCCCCCCCTCTCCCTCTCCTCAGCAGCCCAGCGCGCTGC